CTAAATCGCTTTACTGATCAATAAAAATAAGTGAAAAGTAATTTTTGTTTTAACTATGGTTAAATGAAACGCTCATAGTTGTCACTGACATGGTTGACATATCTGACATGGCGGAGGCATATAGCATGCACACATGCAACTTTTTGGCGTTGGTCTTGCAGTTGCGTAAGTCCAGGTCGGTGCTAATGTCGGTGGTGTCTGTGTTGGCGGTATCGTCCATACTGTTGTTTCCCGCGTGTATGACGGTGTTGTCGGTATGCAATCTGTACCTCCGCAATTTTATATTTTATTATGCAGCCAGCACATTTTTTATCAAAACCTGAAATCAGAGAAGCCCTTAGAAATTTAGTTGAATTTTAGTTGAAAGTTGAAATTAGTTGAAATTTACGTTGAAATTTAGTTGAAATTTTATTTACCCTTAGTTGAAATTTACTTAGATTTAAACGAACTTTGATCGATCATACTTTTTGAATCACAATAGGGAACTGTAAGAAGTAAAAATTCTGGAAAATATTCCATGATGGTAATTAGATACTTTGCGGTTGTTCTGGTTGTTCCAGTTGTTGCGGTTCTGGGTGTTGAAGGAATTGCAGTTGCTTGGGCTGCGGTCGTGAAAGTTGTGGTCTTATGCTTTGCGGTTGCATACCTTGCTGTTTTATGTTTTGGAAGTAGTACGGTTGCTGTTGCCCATTACGCCCCAAATGCATCGCATTTGCTATCGATAGAAGCATGTAAAACGAGGGAATAAACTTACAACACATAACTGAAATATACAATATTATTAGAACTATGATTTGGCACAAAAAATGATTATAAGGCATGGCTTTAAAAGCATTCAAGAAATTATCCCTAATCTAATCAAGAATATAGAATGCCCCTAATTTCGATTAAATTTATTCATCCTGCTCATTAAATCCAAATATTGAAGGAACGTTGAAGTTCTTGCAGATCCTATTCCTATCAAAGTGATGTTAATGTTCTATCATTCATTACTGAGCTTCTTCCGCTGATACATCATGTCAGACATCCTGATGCTGGCCTCAGATCACAGTCTTCTGCCCTTCGAATTAGCACGCTCTTAGCAGTTGAAGTTTATATTTGGTTTGAAAAAATACGCTAACATTTTTTGTCTAAATAACGTAACATTTGCAAAATTTTTGGCCAAAATTTTTTACTTTGTTCAAGGTTTATGTTAGCATTCCCATTATACCTTTGTTTCATTTTTTCTTTCATTATTTTGCTGAATAATCGAATTGGACTTTTTGATGAGATTTGTAAAGGAGCAGGTGATGGATGAAGTACATTTGGCAAAAAGTTAAAAACAAAATATATAGGTGAAATAATCATATGTACATGTTGAATAATGCATATATTTCGTATTTAACTATAATATCATAATACGACATTTTTCTTTTTTAGTTTTTGACCTTATTTGATAAACAATATTTTGCCAAGAAATAAATTGTAAGGGTTAAATATTTGTTTGAAAACGGATGTCAGATAAATGATATGATACACAGTCGTCCCGGAATCGAGAACTCCGGTATTGAAAACATATGTTTTGCGTGTTTAGTTTTTTTTTTCTTTCCTTCGTATTTGTTAAATGCTTGTTATGATTCAATATATGGAAGCAATTCAATTAATAAGTAAATATTTGAATTCAATAATGATAATAGTAATGTCTGAAAAATCAATTCGATATTTATGGATATGTTGCTTGTATCATTGCTAAAGTTAATGAAAGCTAATAAGTAGGTTGTTGTCAATTTATCTGTCTCGAGCCTTAAAAGTGGGGAATTAGTACTGAATATTTCAAAATAAGCTGGATTATCATCTGTTCAGTCAGATGAAATTATCATATTAACTGGGATTGCAATATTCCCCGCGAATGTCGAAATGGAAATTACCAGATTTGTTCAGTCAATTTTTTAGGTACTAGAAATTATCCACAATTTTGTTGTTCCATAAAATCTATTTTAAAAAAGAATCAGGAGTATATATGTATGTATGTTCTCTGAGATATTAATAGTGCGATAAAAAGTTGTTGAATTATATTGATATGGAAGGAAAATAATACTGGAGGAGATTTATGAACTGATTCTTGTTATCTTGAAATGGAATTTATTATATATTACAAATGAAAAAATAATATTTGAGAAGATAAAAATTTTGTTAGTAATTGGTCTGTAATAAATTTTCGTCGACTTCCATGGTACTACTTTTTTTTCCGCAAGGATATATTTTCTTTAATGTTTCAAATGTAATAAAGAAATATTAAAACAACAATGAATTTCACTTCCCCTAGGCACACACTAGTTTTTTATTTCAATATAATTCATTGGTAATGTTTATTGGCCCAATAACAATATTTATTTGAGAAATGAAAATTACTTTATAGCTAAACACTATATGGCTTCATGATTTACCATGTTACATAAGGGTTTATTGAAGAGCCTTTTTGTATATAACATGGGGCAGTCAATAACTGATAAATATTAAGATGATAAATATGATATATGAGCAGTGTCACAGATCATTTCCTGATAATCATAGGTATCTATATTATTCAACTTGTAATTGTAGCAATATTTGAATGATGAATACGATGAGCATCGCTAAATTTCTTTAAAGTGATTGCACAACCTTGGATTGGATATATATAATGGAATCCGTCATTTTTACTCCGATCATATTTCATACTTATTCTAACCTTTTACTAAAACAATTTACAAGCTAGAACAATGAAATGTAAAAGAGTTAAGCTTTTGAATGTGATTTCGTGACTCATTGCGTCTCATTATATTGTTAGAACCTTTGAAAATACTTGTTAGGCAAATTATGCGCTGCAATCAGCGGAAAGCTCAAATGTGTCATACAAAAAGAATGGATAATCCAAACAAGAATCGAAGTCTTAACTTCTTACACAGCTGTCAAGGATCTCTCACCCCTGAGTGGACAGTATCACAAATCACTTCTGAATGGTGAGTCCATAATAGTTCCAGGCATGTAGTTACGTCACCTCTAAAAGAAGTGAATACTTGTAAAACTAGTGATTCATTGCAAACTCAATCTGGTTTGTGAGGCAATGAACTTTATTCAATCTAAATTCATTACATACCTTGATATCCTAATAAAATTGAGGAATATTCGCCAAAAACAAACTCCTTCATGGAAAAGTTTCCATATCCACGCAAAATGGAAATAACCAAGCAAACGAGTCAGCAAATGGGTATTTCTACTAGAAAACTAAAAGATAATATGGCAAGGATCATTGAGAAAGAATGACCATTAAAATAGTATTTACGTTCATTGAAACACGTGCTTTAAAAGTGATTTTCACGTTCACTTCAAATTTATATCCTTTCCTCTACTACAAAAAAAGTCAAAAGTACCGGGAAAGTTTCTCGAACTCGGAATCTGTTCCTTTAATTTACCCATCACAGTTCACTCGTTAGACTTTATGATTATAACGCTAGTGTAAGATTAATCTCAGATATACAGTAAAAATAAACCACTATAATTTCAAAACTAATAAAACAAAATAGCACGATAGATTTTACGTAGCAATCGATAGTAAAAAAGCTGTGAGTATTTTCTACAACACACCAGTAAAATCTCAGATGTACAGTAAACATTAATCAGTTTGAAATAATTGGATAAATACATGTAGCACTTCCAAATAACGGGCAAAATCAGTGGTGTTTTTCTTGTTTCTTCTCGAAACCAACACCTGGCACGTAATTCTTTTCTGGGTTGTGGAACAGAGCGTGATTACCATCACCCCATGGAAGCGGCTAAAAATATAGATGATGAAAATCCCTTAACCAGTAGCCTTGATATAAGTCGAAAAATTGAGTTTTGCATAATGGTTTTTTGAAAAGGATAATAGATGATTCAATTTAAATTTAACTAACTTTATTACGGACGGTTAGGTATGGATAGTGAACGTATTTCTCTTGGTCAAAATGCTCCTCCATCTGATGTCCCAAATAAGTCACATAGAAAAGGATCGCGAGTACCACTGGTGAACCAAACATTACTACGGCATTGTAAAATTTGTCATACTTGAAACGATCACGATCATCTGCCTCCTCATCATAATCTACAATGTAAACTTTCCAAAATTTCATTATAACTGCATTTTGTGATTGAAACACTGCAAATGAGTACCTTAGAGTGAAAAAGGATATATCTGATATAGAATAGTGGGTAGCGATACCAAATATGAATTGCATGTAAGTGTTTTGAAAGAGTTTACAATTTCTTCCGAAAAATTCAAAACCGTTCGAAGTAAACCTTGACGTAATAAAAATATTGACATGGAAGGCTAACTTGCAGCACTTTGAGTATGTCGCACTTGACTTGTACTAATCGCTTTAGTCGTTTGCTTCAATCGTGTTCGAGATAATTGTGAACGTGTAACGGAAAACAACCGATATAGTAGCGGTGACATTTACGCTGAAAAACAATAAAAATTTGAATCATATTAGTATGAAGTGTGGAATCAACGTAAGGAATGGCGCACCGGATGAAAACGAAAAAGTAGACTGAACCAGTGGAAATTACTGAGTCAACAAAACTAGACGTGAAAGCATGTCAGGTAAAAACATGAAGATATGGTAGATGTTACAAGACTTTACGTTTTATTCTTGGTTCCAGTGAACGTAAAACCGAAAACAAAACGTGCAGTTCACATACAATCTATCCCATCATCAGACATCATTGCAACCCGCGAAATACATCACGGACTGGCTAGGCTCTATGAAATACATCCCTATAATGGGACTAGGCTTTTTTTATTTGGCGTTAGTACATATTTTGGCTCTGAGGGTATTTGTGGATTTTCTTAGATTTTTCTTTGGAATTATCATTTAATTTATTCACGTGTATTGTGCTATTTTCTGTTGTCTTCCCCTTATTACCATGAATTTCATTTTTGTTAAGTCATTGCTTTAACTACTTTGTATAAATGTTATTGTTCCATGTCATTTTGCATAAAATCGCGGCAAACATTGTTCTCTTAATTTCTTTGTCTAAAAAAATAACAAACAATTTTAAGCTGCTGTTTTCGTTCCTCTAAGGAAACAATTGGTTTTAATTGTTTCATATATTTATTAAATTTAAAATTAATTTACTCAAATGAATTACCGTTAATGATGTAATAACTGGATGTTTTAGAAAACCGGAAGATTGATTTGGAAATGTTGCAGTCAGTTTTCGATAGTGATCAACGTTTTGTTGTTATCAGTGACAATAAATTTCAGGTTCACACTTATCTCTTTCGTTATCATTAACATATATTTTGCTCGTGATTGCTCATTTGCCTTAAAAAAATTGGAATTATTTGCCGCTTACTTATTTCAGGCATTTATTTATTTATTCAAGTTACATTTAGTTACTTATTTTGCCTATTTTAGGTATTGTTTCACATACTATTACAGATTCTATTTTTTCCTACATAATTTCTTTGCCATAGGTACAACTTTGGTCGTTATCGACAGAAGAAAACCTTTTATACTTCTAAAACATTCCCTGTCTTTTTTTTCAGACATTAAAAACTTCTTAGGAAGAAATACGGAAGAGATAAGGGTAAACTTGAAATTCATTGTCAATGATAATAACGAAATGTTGATCACTACTGAGAGAAGGAAACCTTCTTAGTGCTGAAATGCATGCACTTTTTTTTCACTAATTTTTGATCACTAGCATCATTTATTCGAAGAAATACTATCATTTGCTATTTTCTATAGGTACGTAATTACCTGTTCCTCGTTTTTTCTTTTTTTTTTTGAAAATTAAAACTGTTCAAAATAAAAATTTATTTCAGAAGCGCTCATCAATAACCAGGAAAAATTTCTTGACAGTGAAGTTGATAGGGAAGACTTTGTGAGACTTAGCGTGCATCACTTTGTTTTCGAAATTTTCGAAAGAAGAAAAATTCCTCATTTATTTTTTCTTTATTTGCATTTATTCAGACGCATCCATGTCGTTTTCTTCTCGAACGTTTCACGTCGTCCGGCTGTGAGATTTCACGAGTGGATGATTTGCAATTACCATCTTACCCCAAAACAATTCCCGCTATTACATTAGATATTTTCCGTAATCAAAATATCTTGCACAAAGTTTGTGATGCGCACATGTTTGACTTTACTTTTTCTGTAATAAATAAAAGAAAACATTTTCTTTCCAAGCAGATTTCATTCTATGTTTATCAGATTTTAGATAAAAAACTAGGTCGATTATTAGTTGAAATGAGGCGATATTTACGAATGGCTGTAACTTTCACACTGTTTGAATATATTCGGAGAAATTTCGAAAATTTACTTAATGGTCAGGTATATATGTGTATGTGTGCTTATGTTGTGGACTAATAGTCAATTTTTGGCGTTTGATTTCTTTGTAGAGTAAATGATGTGTATGGTTTTCAGTATTGATTCTGGATCACTATATGGAATTAAAATCTACAAAAATAGCGTAGAAGTTATGTGGACAAAGTTTTGGACTATTTTTTTTTCACGCAAAATTATCAATCTCAAATAGTTTTATTTTAAACGTTTCTTTGTTAAAATTTTAGATGGAAATTCTTACGGCTGATGTTGAGAAAGAAGAAAATGTGATAATAGTAGTGAGATAAGCGAGGAAAATGGAGATGAAAGTGATAGTGGTAGTAAGATAATTGATGAAAATGGAGTTCAGGAAATCACTGTTGGAGTTAAAAAAAGTGCAAATGACTAAAACCTAGAAAAAACGGATGTGAGATCATGCACTTGCTGGCAAAAAGGTTCATTTTTGGTTTCATTTTTTTTTCGATTAAATTTACCTAAATTTTCCCATTCTATCATAAATTTCCGTATATACTACATCATCATCATTATGACTAGGCTTCGTAAACGAACATTTGCAAAGGGCTTTACTCACGCTTGTTGCAAACGCTACATACGTGAGGCGTATCCTTCCAGTCTCCGCAGTGGATATTTTAGGTGAAATACAGCGTGTGCGGAACTGATCGGACCCTTTACTCCTATGGTTTATCCACTTTGACATAGGTTTTTATTAGAATACTCTCTCCTAGATGGATGGCCTTACAAGCGAACTCCATCTGCCCGGGTTTGGAGTTTGAGTTGTCCTCCCAGGACGAATGTTGGGAGGCTATCGAGCATATCTTAACCGTGGACGCACTTTACCTGACCTTTCAGTTGAGAATTCTTCGGTATGGGAACCCCACCGATACGATACGGTCAACATAGCTAGTAGCTTCAGAAGGGCAGGCAACCTTCTCCCCCTCGATAAGGGAGTGTCTGTGAAGAAGAAACACACTATAACAAATTCATAATTACTCTGCACATTTCGGCAAAATTAAAACAAAGTTCTGAAACATAGATTAAGTTTTGAAGGGACGAATCATATCTAGGGAATCAGTGATCACTGTGACGAAAATTACAGTTTCTATAGTTTGTAAAAGAATAAAAGTGTTAAGCAGGTCTGGAATATGTTTGTGGTTTATATGAAAGGTTCAGATTAAGTTAGAATTAGATCAAGACTTTAGAAATTGTGGAAATATCCTTTTTTTTTGCAGGAGAGTGGCTGAAACTGGGTTGATATCATTAAATATCTTTCACAAACGGGAGATAATGACTGATAATGTAACATCTTCCTGCTGTTGATGCTCAATTAATTTTCCGTTCTTTGTATTAATAAACATTGAGTTTTACTATTTTCTTTTATTTAATTTTTTTGCAACAGTTGGCTTTTCCGCCAGCTTTGTTATCGATTTTGTGAAGACATTTATACCAGTATTGATTAAAAAAATCACACACTGTATTATTGATTTCTTTTTTGGTGAAATGTCATCATTTAATTATACTGCTTTTCGTTAACCAAAATTCGATTCACGTTTCACTTTCATTGGTATTTGAATAGATAACACAATCATTTGAAATTGGACGTTTATTGAAAAAGACTGCAAAATAGATAACAATGGTCATATTATGAATTTTCCTAAATTTCTCTATATATTAATAAAGAATATTGTTCCTTAACAGTAAAGTTGTTTTGTTATAGCGACATTTCTTATTGTATTTCAGTAAAATTTCAAGTCACCGGGAGAAATTCTTTCCTGTCCGGAAAATATGCCATTGGTGTTGCGCGTTGTTAGCTTGAATTGCTGGTACTTAATCTTTTTTGATTTTTTGGAAAATATAAGAATGCTTTTGTAATTTAAGTCAAAAGATTAACTAAATTTCTCTATATATTAATAAAGAGTATTGTTCCTTAACAGTAAAGTTTTTCTTTAACTTTTTAGCGAAATAACAATTTCATGACGTTAATGTTCTTTTAGAACTTATTAAACGCATGAAATATGTTTTCTTAGATCCTTCAAGTCTGTGGAAAAGTAGTTCCATTCATATGTAATATTAATTTCCGTAATTTTGTTAGAAATAAAATAAGCAAATGTTTACATGTTTACTTTTATTTATTTTGATTGGATTATTAGGTAATGCTTGCATTTTTGACAGTTCTTTGCATGACTTTCTCAAGCATGTTGAACATCCATGCTTTTCAGGGCTTTACCTTTACCATGGCCGTTTAGAAGCAATGATCATTCTCTTCGAATAAAAAAGATTGGAGAAGCTTTACTGCTAAACGAGTATGATATTGTGGCACTAGAAGAAGTATGTTTCTAAGCTATGATATATGTTTTTAAACTGTTGATTTTTCTGCACTGAAGAATGTTTTGGAATGACGGTAGTCACACTTTATAATCGTACTTTTCAAGGTAAAATTACTTTTAACAGCGCAGAAATATGTGACGTTTTTTTCTAAAAAAAATTAAAATCTGAAAAAGGTCAGTTTCATTTTTTCAGGTTTGGGGAGAACATGATTTTCTTCGTTTACAAGAAGCATTGAAAAAAATATTTGGTTACAGTTATTACTTCCATAGGTATTTTTAGTTAAAATTAAGAGCGAACTACTTTTTCAAAATGATGGAATTGTATTAGAATTCATTTACATAAGACGAAACTTTTGATGATTTATTTTTTCTGAACTTTAGATCTTTAAATTTAGCAACATATCTTGATCCATTTCGTTTTTTATTACAGTGGTTTCACTGGAAGTGGCATTTGCGTTTTCAGTCGCTATCCCATTGTGTCAACTTTAATGCATCGTTTCACATTGAATGGATTTGCTCATCATATACACAGGTAGAATTCTGTAGTATTTCACCAAAGTCTTCGTGTCATTCAAAAAAAATTTTCCTTTGATTCTGATACTACTACTACTGCGCATCAAGCAACATCAATGATTCGAAAAAGATACTAATTTTCGAAGACATATATTGAATCCACGAAGCAGTTAGAGTGCCAAGGGTTCGGACCAATAATTTCCGCTGATTGGACTGTATCAAGATTTCCTCAGTTAGTTTGAGACTTATCAGGCATGTACTTTTAATCTAGCTGTTATCATTTATTTATCGCTTTGTTTATCGCTAACTTCTGCTACTGACAGAGAAATCTTGCTACAGGCCATTATGACATTTCCAGTAACTTCAGGATTCTGCAAATTCTGAAGTTACTGAAAATATTAGAATTGCGATACATTCAGGATTTTTAACAAGTCCTAAACCTTTCCGAATTTTATAGCAAAGTCAGATATTTTTCGATTTCAGGGGTGATTGGTTTGCTGGGAAAGGTGTAGGTTTAGTGGAAATTGAAATTGAGCAGTACCGTGTCAATTTTTATGCTGCTCATGTAAGTTTCTTTTTTAAACAAGTTCCTACGAAAATCAAATATACGATTCTGAACTTTTCATAATAGGAGCACAGATGAATTTGTGAGGAACCAAAACATCATAGTATCTCTCTTTATATTTGTCATCGAACATTTTTCCAATCTTCACCGTTTCTCTCATGAAATTTAACCTGTTTTTTTTTCGCAGATCAATCTTTGGTTTTTTAAATAAATTAAATCAGACATTTTTGATTAAAACCCAAATTTTTAGCTTCACGCTGAATACAATCCTAACAAAGACCTATATTTACCTCATCGTCTTGCACAAGCTTTTGAACTAGCTCAGTTTGTTAAACACACAAGTTATTCTGCTGATGCCTTAATTCTTGCTGGTTTGTTTTCTTTTGTAATTAACTTCCTTTGAAGACTTTCCAACTATCCACTGCGCTAGTGCTGTCCGCTAGTGCTGTTCGCTAGTGCTCTACCGCTGCTTATCGCAGGTAGGATTTTTAATTTCATGAAATTTCGTGAAAATCGCATCTCGCACTATTAAGTTTTCAAACTTGGGAACTTTGAAATCTAAGAGTTAAGTTTAGTATGCCAAAATAGCGTGCTTTTTTAAATGAAACTGTGTGAATTATTATATTTCAGGCGATTTTAACATTGAACCCGACAATCTTGCGTACCAGTTAATCGTGCAAAACGCAAACTTGAGAGATGCTTGGATTCAAAAACCGGTTATCTTTTAATATCATTTTAAGATAAGAAAAGTGATTTCATCGAACTTAATTGTACAATTAAATAAACAAAATAAACAAATAAACAAACGAATAAAATAAATAAACAAAATAAACATATAAACAGACGAACTTAATTGAACAAAGTCTCGTCTTTTTATGACGTGAAGTCTCGAAACACTTCATCTGAAAATGATATGCTTATTTTCACTGAAAATCAAAGCTGACAAGTTAAGGACTAGGCAAGGTTTCAAAGGATATTTGAAAGAAAGAGTATGATTAGGCTTAACGTCCCCAAATTTTTTGTTCAGTTTTATTTCTCTGAAGTTTTCTCTTGAAGGAAATGAAGGTATTAGTAATTTATTTATTGTTTCAGAATAGTTGCGATGATTGTGGTGCGACTTTCGGAAGGCTTGATAATTGTTATACACCTCAGAGATTCAAAAATAAAAAAAATTATGGAAAACGTTTGGATTATATTATGTATAGAAGTGGAAGAAGTAAGTTTAATCGCATAATTGCACTTCTTTAAGACTATTATCAGGTTGAAAGTCTACTGTTCAGGAATTAACTGCATAATGCAAATTGCAATTTCTGCGTTGAACTTTGCTGTTTGATATTAAAACGCATTCTTAAATAGGTGTGGTTTTTATTGTACATAATTGTACGTTGATTTCTCGCTTTGTACTTTTTTTTTTTAATTAATCATGCGGTTCAAATTGGGTCAGTAAAAAAGAAAAAAAACGAAACATTTCTTGAAAAATGAATTGTACATGCTAAATAACCATAGTCATTCCAGTGATTCGGATGGGATAGAAACTCTAAAACATTTTCCAAAACTGAACTTGCGTTTGAAAAAAGATTATGGTCATTGTTTGGTGATTTGTTGCCACTACAGTACGCAAAATGCTGGTAAAACCATTAGATCTGGAAAGTGTGCTTAGTAAACTGATGTGACAAAGCGAAAACTGCAACGTCTTCAGCAACACTGGTCAGCAGACCGTGCTCTTCTCCATACTAACGCCTACCACACATCATACAACCAGTGCTTCAGAAGCTAAACAAATTGGTCTATGGGATTTTGCCTTTGCCATCATATTCACCTGTCGTTTCGCCAACCGATGCACATCTTCGAATATCTCAACAAATATGGTTCTACAACCAACAGATGCAAGAAATACTCGCCAGAAGTTTATGCGGTCCCGAATCCCTGATTTTTGAATTGATGCAATAAATATACTTATTGCTTGTTGACGAAACTGTGTTGATTGGTATGGTTCCTATCAGACAGCATTGATGTGTTGTTGAATCTAGTGGCTCAAACCCATTGTCTGAAACCACGCATTTTTGTTCAACACTTTACTCTTTCCTTCCAGTGCTAATGTTACTGCTAAAACTCGCAGAATTTTAATTTATATGGTTTTGAGAAAAAATCAAGAAAATCTTATGCGCCATTTTTCCCAATATTTTTTATTTTTTGATGAAAGTCTATCAAGTTGAAAGATCCATATGTTAACATGCAGTATTTAGGTAAAATAGAACTGAAGCTGTGTGAAATAAGAATGAATCGTATCCATGACCAAAAATCGATCAACTATAGTGATCATGTTGGAGTTTACGCCGAATTTTCCTTATCAGAGCAGCATGACGAAGTATTTGTTTATTTCTGTTTTATTATGATGGCCTCTGTTTGATGACCGTCATGTACCTTTTCAAATAGTTAAAAAAAACCACCCAAGTACCATCTTTTTGATGCATTATAGTTTTAGTTCACAGAAGCTTGTGCTAATATTCTTGTAAAAATCGTACTTGGCTGTGCACTACTCCGGAAAGTGTGGGTCACATTTTTTTCTTTTTTTTTTTTGCATCTTTCGGACTCTTTTTTATTTTCATTTCTATAATTACGAATAAATAGATGTATCCTTAACCAGTTTTTGGTTCCTGGATAATTTCGAAATTGGAGCACAAAATTTTAATTAAAAAAAACTTGTGACTTTCAACTACTGCAGATTACCAAGGGTCTATCACTAACTCCACCGAATTTGTTGAAAAAAGTTATCGAAACTCAACAGGAAGGAATAACTCGTGTCAGTCGGGATCGTTTCATTTTCCTTAGCTTAGTTGTTATCCTTATTGGATTTATTCTGGCCACTTTTTTTGCTGAGCAGCATATTTCTGGTGTTAAAACAGCGGTTAGTTGATGGCTGCATTTCTTTTTTACATATTACATTTGAACTGTTTGTCATAAAAGAAAGCTTTGACGGAAATGATTTCCTTCAATTTGCGTTTATTTTTTCTTACTGTATTTTGCACTATATTTATCGAGCTGAGAGTAAATTTGTTGCTTCAGAATTCGTTTGATCATGACATCATGGTGTGAAGTTTTAAGAGAATCAGATTAAAACATATTTTCTGAGAGGTTTCAGATACTGTCTAACGTTTTATTATAAATTTTTCGGGTTCATTTTTTAGGACATTGATCTTATGACAATAGTACTATTGTGTCCGCAAACAACTAAGCTGTCATTTGAATTCATATTTCAGACACTAATACTTCGATTTCTCCTCACATTATTGATGGGATTTTGCTTGTGGCATGGTTTAATTGGCTTAACATTGGAACACAAAGCATTGAAAGCATCGAAAGCATCAGTATCTATGCTGTTAAATGAATAGATAACTATTTTTAGTTCTTCATATACTGAAAATACATTTTTTCGTAGCTTATTACATTTTTTGCTCTGAGTATCTTCTACTTTTTTTTTTAATCTGTATTGGTGTGATTGCTAGACAGGATATCACATCTGTTTCTCCCTTAAAACTAGATTTTAACTGCAGTATTGTTGTGATTGTTTAATTTAAGGGAATGAGATCGTGCAAAAAATCATTTTCTTTCACTATTACACTGATTCTGTCGTACTCTATCGCTGCCAGTTGTTTAGTAAAATTGTCATTAATTTTCATCTTCCATTGTTCAATAATAAAAGGTCGGAGATTTGATTTCATAACTATAGATGAAAACTTTTATACTTGTATCTTTCATCATCTCAGTCAAGGTTGTGCAATTCCATTCTTTAGTTACAGCTATAGTTATATCATTTAATTTTTATTGTATTGTCAATCAAGCGTTTTGCTTGTCTGTTGCTAGGTGAATTATTTAATATCAAGTTGGTGCTTGAAATTGCTTTCAAATTGATAGCAAAAAAATACTTCCAGTTGACACATTACCGGGTTTAGTGTCCAAAATTATCAGAGCAGTATGCAGTTTTTTGATATTAAATCTGTAGCTACTGTAACTATCTCTAATGTTATTGCGGCGAAAAATGAAACAGTTTGAAATGTTTCAAATGCTTCAATACGGTTTTACATTCTAATATTTTGTATTGTGCCCTTTTTGGATAGTTTCCTAGTGATAGGTATGACATCCAACCAAGGATATTAAGTAATGTTGATTTGTACTAATCAAGAACTTATGTTTTAAATTTGTAAGCTCAATTATTATACCATTTGGTAGCATAAACAAACTATATGAAGATTGCAAAAAATACTTTCAAATTAGCGATATTTTCAGTAGCGAGAATTGTTTAGTGCGAATATTTCTTAGATATGTTATATCAGAATAAACCATTGGTTAACTGACCGAAGATATTTTCAAGTATGGATACAATCCATTTTTGATTTTAAGTGGTAAAGTTTTGGTGTGTTGCACGAGTTATTTTAATATCCTCAAAGTAAAAGAATGGAAAAGTTGTTGTTAGTCGAAATATTTGGACGTTTTAATCATCATCAACATAATTTCAGTTTACTTCCATACGTTCATTATTATCACAAAGTTTCCCTTTTTTTATTCCGTTTGTTTAAATGTTCTATTCATTGGTTTGCTAAATATTTGAATAAGTTTTTTTTCAGACGTACTTTTACTGATTTTTACTGTTAAGTAATAGAAGACGAACAAAAATGTGATTCATTTGTAATTACCTTTCAGTAATACTACATGTGTTGAAGTTTGAGGAATAACTGATAATTTACTGTGATTAGTTTGCGCTAACAAGTTTTAGTAAAGGATGCTGAAACGGTTGGGATTTTTATGTGTATTTTTTTATGTGTATATTTTATGTGTAACTTAGAAGCTTGTAATAAATGTTGCATGTATTTAGATCAATTTCAGCTTTCGGAAACTTACCGGATAGATTGCTGAGTGATCCGGAATGTCCAAGTCTTAATAAAAGATGCTGAAACGGTTGAGATTTTTATGCCTGAAAGCACATCTGTGTTCGTCATATCCATCACGAGTATCTTCTTTTCCATCAATTTCGCTGTCGCATATTTCCCAAAGGTGTCACAGGACGTTGTATCCTGGTACCGATATTACTGTCGAAGAAGCTTGGAAACGACGGATACAACTAAGACAACCAAAACTTCAACTTGATGAGCAGGTAAAAGAATAATCTACTGATATGTAAAGATTTTTAACTCATTTGAAAGAAAATATGTGGTGGTTTTTTTGAATAACAATTTCGTATATCTTTTAAGATTTGGACTAACAGAGAAATTTTCCGAAAATTTCAGGTAATAATCTTCGATGAAATGAAGCAATTTATTCAAAAACAATTACCATTACAGGTACGACCGAAACTGTATTATGCTCCTGAGTGGGATTTGGAGAAACGACATGATGGTGAAGAAGGTGAATCACATCCCATGATTGGCCAAGATGTAATGACTCCTGAAAAATGGAACTACTATAACAAGGTGGATCTTTATATCCTTTTATGTCTTTTCAAATTATTTTAACAGTGTTGTTGCTAAATTTGTTGTCGCAAAAATCCATTTGTGCCGTGCTTCCTTTGCTTTATGTTTAATATTCTATGATTTCTGAAAAGTATCACATTATTTTTCGAAAAATTTTGTAAGATTTAGGTCGATGCATTAAAACCGATTGGTATATTATCTACCTTTATGTTGTATTCTAAAACAGTCTTTGCGATGCTAAAAGAAAAGTACTTTTTCAGGTTGTTTGGCCACCAAATTATGTGAGTCCTGAGACCGGTTTGCCACTTTTGCGGCAAGTTTATTACTGTCGTGAATCGGTCCATTGTAGCCCTAAAAGGATGTTTATGGCTTGTCATTTGGTTTGGCGTTTGAATGTTGACGAAGCACTGGAACAGTTAAGACTGCAGCGTAAAAAGGTTTTCCAAAATTCATTACACAGTTTTTAACCTTGTTTGTTTATTGTAACGATCGAAAACAGTCATTCGATATTCAACGTAGTCCTCCTTAGCGTTAGCTTTTAGATAGGAGTTTGACATATGGTGTTTGCTTGGATATCATTTGTTAAATTTAACTGTTAACCGGAGCGTTTTTTCGGGAAATTTCAATAACTTTCGTGAAGTTGAAACTCCAGAAGTGTACTCATCTTCAAACATTTTTTATTTAGGCTTGTACGATTTTAAGACAAGCTCTAATTGAAGCAAAAAGAAAGCATCTGCAGAACTTCACGTTGAATTTCCATCGGATATGCATGTTGCGGAAGCATTCCCAGTTCAGTGTCAAATCGTCAAAGGCTATAGACGTCATGCACGTGAGCGTATTACCGTCACAAGATACCGGTACATCAATGTTTTCGTTAGGTTAATCTTTTCTGTATTATACCGAGAAAATAACTCGCATTATAAGTTTATTTATGGACTGAAAGAAAGGAATGTTCATCATAATTCATTCATTTCTTGCTAGCTGCTAGAATCTCTAATACTTTCGCTATGCCGCATTTTATCATTCCTTGGCGATTGCAGTATTTTGTGGACCTTATTATTTGTTGATCAAAGCACAGATTCTTTGCGATCTGCATTTTGTGGGATCTGCATCATTATGTGCTGTATAAATTTTTAATTCCATTAATGAATTTTTTTCTACGCTTGGACTAAATTTTATGGTGTTGGTGTTATAAAGCGGGACAAAATTACAGTATGTGTTTTGTTGAAAAAACCACAGCTTATGGTATGGCTAAAAGTTTGTTTCAGCTTATTAAAGGAAATGCTGACATTGATATATATTATTCATCTTCATAAATCAAAAATAATTTTCCTATTTTTCTTTTAATATATAAAGTAATTAATGAAGACGATATATTTGTAGACTTGAGGAAGGTGATGGGCCACCAATGAAAAACAGATGGGAGCCGAAGAATGGCTGGGACAAAATGAAGGATTATTACAAATATTTGAGGGAACGTTCTATCGAATATAGTATTTAATAGTTTTCATTTCTATTGCTGTCTTCTATGGTACTTTTTTGGAGAAAGGAGAAAAGGTGTTTTGTAGGGGTAATTTCTATTCTTATTTGCTCCTGTCCTGTAAATAGTCTAAACTAACTCAGTCATGTTCGAAAGAGTGAAAGGATGTTGATTAAAATGTCATATTTGTCTTTCGAATCGTTGTTTTTCTTATTGGAAACTGTATGTTGTTTTTTTCCACTTTGATAAAAGAAATTTTCTAGAAATTTGTCGTTGTAAAAGTTCAAAGTCCATAACAACTTTTTTATTTCTGAATTTCTCATAATAATAAACACATAAGAGATGGGTGAAAGGAAAGAGTTGGTGGAGATATTCTTACTGCACAGTATTTGTATCTTCCATGTTTATTTTCATTAAATATTTGTTGCTGTTTTTTAAGTTAAAGATGTCAGTTTCGTGGTGTTAGTTCGAAATATATGGATGAGAGGAAGGAGCTGTATGCTTGCACATGCATTATACTTGGAAAATTCTAAAGAAGCTTAAAAGCTAGGAAAATGAACAATTCTAAATCATTTTAGCATGACACTTGGTATTGATAAGGGATCAATGGCAGATGGAAATGTTGAAGAGCAAGAGGTAGATATTCCTGAGACGAGTATTAGCTTAGAAGAAGAAGCGAATGAAAGAAAGCGACGACTGAAGGAAATGCGTGAACGAATGACTCAACAACAGGAGGGTAAATTTTCTGTTTTTTAAAACACTAGAAACAGCTTCCAGTGTAGATTGCCTGTGATATCTTTGTTTTCTCATTTTATTTCATGCACTAAATAATATTGAATTAGGGATCAGATATCCGTAAATAAGGGGTCTGAAGACTATATGAAAACTTAGATTCTCTAATTAGGGAAACTGAAGTTCTATAATGAGAAATCAATTGATAGGTTAATTAAATTGTGATCCTTTATTACCAAAGGATTTTAGATGATGGGACAGAGTTATCAAATAAGTCGGTAAAGCTTACATTTCGGAGTTATGAACCGCAGAGTGATTTGGGTGATAAACGTGATGGTGTAGATTTGTTTGCTGTCGAGAAAGAAATTGCTGATCAGTTAGCAGACACTCAAGATACTAGGGCTGTGGAACAGATTGATATCACAACATTGGCACCGCGAAAGGTTCGTTTACTTCATTTCTTTTTTCTTGTCGACTTTTTGTCTTTTTTTTATCAAGCGGTACATCAGATTGTTTTGGAAGTACAGAAAACAAATGAATACATGCAAACTAATAAGTTAGATAAAATTGTAATTTGATCTGCGTATTGCACGTAAACTTATGAACTTTTCTATGACTCTGACTTCAGCTACTTACAGATTTTCAATATAATTAACAATGTTTTATTAATAGATTGACTGGGACCTGAAACGTGATATTGCGGAGAGGTTGGAAAAATTAGAAAGACGAACAGAGCGTGCGATGGCTCAGTTGATTCGTGAACGATTGAAAACTGGGAAGGCCGAATTAGCCGATGCTGTTAATTCGGGTGCTTATAGCGAATTGCAACCTGATGATTGAAGACTGAGCCATCGCATATATCACGAATACATGCAAACTAATAAGTTTGTTCTTGTTTACCTAACTACAGATGAATGTTGCTTCTCGATGTCAGTTTTAATTTTTTGTTAATTTGTGGAGAATTTCATTAAGAAAATTATACTTGACAAAACTATACCTGAAAATTATTCCTTTTTTCGTTTGTTTTTATCATTACAACCATTTCTTTCCTCATTTATTAGATGCATGCCGTTCGTTGTATGGAATAGCTCTCTTTTCTTTTTCTTTCTTTTTTTTCTGGACACATTTCTCCGAGTTGTTCTGATAATAGCCAAGTATTTTATTCACTTTTGCATATCACAGTTTGCAAAAAATATCCGAACTTTTTCATTTTTCTTTGTGCAAACTTTTGAATGGAAGTGTTTTTGATTGTAAATAAATGGATTCTGAACAATTTGGAAAGAAAAATCCTTCAGTAAATGATAATATTTGGTTTCATATTCGCTATACTTTTTCCTTATTATATGGTGAAACGAAAGAGTTTTGAATTTAGAATCAGGTTTAATGTGCCGATAATGTTCGGGGTAAATAGCACTGCATTAATTATTTGTAGAATTTTCATTTTTCCCTTATAAGTCATAAAAGACGATTGCTGGACAAAAATTTCTCGACCACATCAATATTTGATTTCGATGCATTTGTTTCATTTGCTGGGTATTATGCACGCTGTTTAGTCCACCAATTTCTGATGCAAAGAGGTCATTTTGATGCTATATTCCCGGATTCAAAGATTCGTTCTTATTCGATACACTGACATCAGTAGTTTTATCGCTATTTCTAGTAGTAAACAATGCCTAAGCCCATAGAAGTAGTACATGGTTGTCTAAGATACTCCAGTATCCATAAAATTCAAAATCTACTTTTAATCATTTCGAGTTCGAAGCACTTTTAACCAGAATTAATGAACTTTTAATTGGATGGATTAGTACTGGACGAAGAGGGCTTCCTCTCTCGTTTCTGAGAGCCACAATCTACTCTAGTGGTCCGTGAAATTCAAAACAAGGAGTGTTTCCTAAAGAAGAGAACTAATATTAAAATACAGATTTACAGTAGAACGAGGATATTCTTGTGTGTTGTTCAAATCTTTTATTTTCTTGAATTTGCAAATTTTAATGTTAAGTAAAGAAGGGCTTATGTCAATATGCAAAGGACGAAAAGAAGGCGTTTTTTTTTTTTTTTTTTTTTACATCAGACAGTGCGTACCAACAATACTCTCAGAAACGTAGAATACTGTATATTCTATATATTATATTATTGGAAAGAAATGAAACATTTCTAATTATCAGTTTTAAACAATGCTTAATCTCATAGAAGTATTACATAGTTATCAAGATTTTGTAAAGATTGGGTGGAAGAGATGTTTCTTCTTAAGGTTGTCGATAAGTGTGAGAAAATGATAGCAAGAGAATAAGCTGAAAGGAAGAGAAAGAGAAAAATCCAATTCTGGTGTATGAAATTATCTCTTAACAACTTCACAAAAATTAATTTTATAAAATTACTACCAGCTGTTTACTGTATTTCACTACCTAAAGCGGACAATCGATGATAGATAGTACTTCAGAGAGAGAGAGAGAGAGAGATCGATGATAGAGATTGCGAATTGTAAATGTTTTGATAGATACGTCCGAGGAGAGTAACAGACACGGTTAGCCCTTTTCCGCTATACAAAAATGGTGGATTTTTCCCGAGGGAAAATCTGGGATTCTCTTCCGTTTCTGATCAGCTTAATTCCAATGTTTCTTTGAAAGTATACTCTATGTTACCAGTTTTATTTTATCACATGAAATTACCTAAGAGAGAAGACAGGCACCGTAATAGTGGAAGAGCTACATGGAGATAATGACTTATGCTTTGGTATATCTGAAATTTATCATTATAATAGGTCATATTTATTACTTTGACATCTCATGTTTATCACATTGGTAGCTCGTGTTCATCAGTGTGATAACATTAATAACTAACGTTTATCAGTATGATATATTACGTTTTGTTGATGTTGATCCATGACGCAACATCTAGAGATCTTATAAGAAAGGCTTACTTTGTTCACTGATAAAATTGGAAATGTTATCTATTGAAAGCTATATTGTTGGCAAGCCTTGCACTCTTCGAGTTATTATCATTTGTTCATATGTAAGTCTGAAGCTACGTTTCTGTAAGTAAAGTAAAAGTTTATTGTGCTTAATTGAAATTATATTTTAGTTACAAAATTTCTAAACTTTGATTGACGTTACTTGTGACAACTCATGCAGATAAAACCGGTTTACGTCGTTCCATTTGAACAATTTTGTTGAATTACACCAGATGTTATTTTTCGATCAAAAAGTTAATATTTCAAATTGTTATTCATTATGTTGTTCGTGATGAAATGGTCAGTTAAATTAAAAAAAGATGTGGTGTAACCACATCTTTTTTTAAGCCAATAAATTATGTAATTATTGCCCTGTCAAAGTAAAATTAAAAGTTAAATATCCAAATTTCTTTATAAATCTATAATTAAACTAAGATTTTATAAGAAACACATAATGTTTTTCCTCCGGATTTTTCCGCTTAAATTTCCTATTCCTTGTATAGACTTCGTAAAATTGTTAGCAGTTAAAAGAAGAAAAGTGAAGCAAAAAGCGATGGTAAATAATCGTCTCCAAAGTTTCCATTGCTATCATAGCATTGATAAGAATAGGATTTTTTATCCCTTCCATAAAATATTTTTTAAAAAAGCGAAAAGTTTTTTTTTAATGAAGTTGCATCATCAATGTTTTAACGATACTATTGAGTTATTTATTCTCTCATGAAGGTTCTTCAAGCAAAATGGCATCTTTTTTATTACCAATTAAAAGCGTATTGCTGATACTTTTAACTATTGTTACTTACTACTGATAGTTTTAACTGCTGTTACTTGTGTTCTATATTTCACTGAGTCAAGGGAAGGCAGAAATAAGCCATCTTTTTGAATGCTACATATCGTAATTGTTATCTTTTCAAATGCTGCATATCGTAGTTCTTTTCCTTTTTTACCGGAACCTTTTTTACCAAAAGATAAGAGTTACTAAGTTGTTCACCATAATTTGGATATATTCAGAGATCAAAAAAATTACGGCATGAAGAGAGAAATTTTAGTTGCGTAAGGAAATCTTGTAAGATCTACGTACATATATATATATATATATATATATATATATATATATATATATATATATATATATATATATATATATATATATATATATA